ATATATATATGACTTCTTTAAAAACACATTAATTTTCATCATAACCTGCACATGACAATAAATCAATGTAATGCTCCACTTTTGATTAGGACATTCAAGTACTCGGCGTCTAAAATGTGCTATAAATAGAAACCGCAGGCCTGTGCGGCAGAAAAGCATGTTTTGTGTAACTTGAAGGCAAGTCTGTTCGTTTTTTAGGTATTTCGCCAGGGCTGTCGGGTTATTCGCAGGTCGGCCGTTTCCCAACGGTATGAATTCACAGTACTCCATTATCCCACCCTCCCAGTGGTTATGAAGTCTGCGCAAGTACATTTCTTTTTTATCTGAGGATGCTTTACGATTTCAGGATCATTATTTAATTCAGAAGCTTTGTTTACAGCTCGCTACTCGGCCTGTTTTGACAAAGCGGGGTGAATCATTTCTTTGAAAATTATCATTTGTCTCGAAAATGAGACGTGCAGGATGAGAAGCTGCATGCGGCGGTTATTTTTCCCTCAAAAAGACAAGTGTTGGACCTCCAACCTTTCACTCTTTTGGCCGCAGAGCAGACAGAATTTGAGTCTATGGGCTCCTAATTAGAAACAGATGGCGCTTGTAGCAACCGAGAGCTAAAACACAGCATTTTCCATACTGGGCTGTGCTCACTCAGCCATACAGGTGCACAAAGTCTGCAGGGGCTCGCTGAGCCTTTACCTCATTTACTTTCTCCTTTTCTGCCCTCCCCCCTTTAAACCCAGCGGAACAGGGGGGGAATAACTAAAAAAAAAGAAAAAGAAAAAAAAAGAAAAGAAAAGGTGCATATCCGAAATTACGCATTAGTATATTCCTGTTTGCAGGTAGTGTTAGGAGGAAGAAGTTCAGTCAAGGTAGACCCACTTTACGCTTTATACACAGCTGGTTGCAGTCAAGGCCAACGTAATAATCCAGTATTTAAATAGTAGTTGGTTCATGAGTTATAAAAAACAACTGCAAATTTTATAAAGGCCACTGTTTTACGACCTTAAAAATACTATAGAGATGGCGAAAGGAAAGTGAACTGTCCTTTGTCTTGGTAAAATATCCGTGTTTATATCAAAGAAAACTTCAAACTTTTATCCACAGCCATAACAAGTTATGATAAAACAAAATATAAACCTCTAATCTGCCATTCTGCCATCACATTGGCTGAGACAAGTCAAATCTAAAGCTGGAGTGAAGCTTTGCCTCTGACTTGCTACCTGCGTGCGCATCATTGTTTTTCGTTAGCTGTAATCTATACAGCTAGGGAGAATATGAGAAAATGAGGAGAATATATTATGTAATGTTGTTGCATATATATATACATATTACTCGTATATCAGTTGTTTACTTTTTAGGTGCATTTGTTGAACTTTGACCTGACCCACAAACAAAACCTCCCGCCTATAGATGCCGTAGTGTGTCAGTCAAACCTATAAAACAAAAATTACGACCAAGCTGTTGCATTTATTTGACAAAAATCATACTCTATAATATATTTCAAAAGAGGAAGCTCGTGTAACACGACTTTTATCTGCTTTCAAATCAACGATGTAACTTTTTTTTTTTAATTCTTTATTGTTATATTAAAGACAGGACCAGCACTGACTCTTTTATCTTTTCTAGATGACCCAAAGCAGTGAGGGATGTTGTGCATTTTCAGGAATGTAGCGGAACGTTTCAGGGAGAAGCAGACTAAAGCCTCTACACAGACTCAGACAGTAGTCTCCAAATGTCTGCTTGTTAGGGAGCCATAAAAAGACGTGCCATGTTTAATGACAATGAGCTCTGAGCAACATCTGATTAGAGTGTTTTGCAGTGAGAAATAACGGTCATAGCCATCTCTACTGTAGGTTGAAATATAGCTGTAAGCAAATGAATAAGAAAAAAATTCATTCTAGTCCTTCCTTCAAAAAAGGAAATGAAGGCGAAATTTAATTTGTACCTATTTTGCTGTGGGAACCCTCGGGATGGATGAAAGCCCCCGGGCCCCACGTAGGAAACTTCCAGCATGCTGCTGATTCCCCTGCAGTATCATTCTAGTACCACCTATAATCTTTTTTTTCTTTCTTTTTTTTGTGGCATGTCTAAATTCTGCACATTTGAAAGTCGTTTCTGAAACATTTTGTTCACCATGTTTACAGTTTTAAGCAATCGAAATCATATGGGATAAACCAAACTAACTCATCATCCTCTCTCTCTTTCTCTTGCTCTCTTTGTATGTGCTATGTCCTGTTATATTGTTGATGGTGCTCTGGCGACCGACATCCTCCTCATTGACCCCCGTCTCCCTCTCTGCCTTTTCCGTCTCATGAAAAACGATTCCAGCTCTCTGATTGAATTTTATTCCTTCCTGACCTGGTCCATTCTGTGAGAGCGCCATCAATCTTTTGACTAACACGACGTTTGTTTATTAGGCCTACACTTGAGAAACTATCTAATGACTTTTATGAGCCTGATTATGGTGCAATCGGAGACCCGGAAGACCCACATAAGCAGGTTTTTGTGCTAAGTTGGACTTCTATTCATAAAAATATAGACATGCTTTAAGGCCTCATATTATATTCACGTGGCATGCAGTTAAACAGATCGGGTTGTTTTGTTCTATTATTCTTCATGTTGATCTAAAGGACTGCAGCTGCCGAAAGAAAAAGATCCAAACCATTTTCCATTTTAGAAACTGGGTTTTAAAACATGTAATAACATGTAATAATCACGGAGTTGTGGACGCGTTGTCCTCCGTTTCTGTTCAGTGGGAAACTATTTTATAGAAATCCTCTAAATTATCCTCAAAACGTAAGTAAGTAATAAGTAAAACGGCGTTAACAGAAACT